ATTCGGGTGATCCGGGGGTATGGCAAAATCTCCGGGGAGGCGGCAAGGTTTGCCGCCTCCCCGCCCTTGGATTACCACCGTGGGATCTGGAAGCGAAGGCACTCGAGCGCGTGTTCAGTTTGCGCGCTGACATGCTTCGCCGGTTCGAAACTCCGCTGCCGCGCCAGATTAGTGCGTGGCAGGATGAGCTCCGGCGCGATCTCACGGCGGAATGGCAGCAACGTCTTTCGCAACCGATACGCTCTCGACATCATTGCAGCGGTAAGTCCCCTCTTTGAGGAGTGGTGACCGCGTCAGGCTATAGACACCGTGAGGTGAGGACACCGTAGGGTGTCATCACTGCGAGGACCGCCCGGACGACACGGTGGCGGTGTGCCCTGCGTAGACTGAGCACCACCGTGTTCTCAGAGATGTAGTTGGCGACGGCGACCTCTCGCGTCCGGCTCTGGTTCAGACCATGGTACGGAGCGAAGGGATTGGATTTGTCAATTTGTTTAATATACAAAAATTACTTTTCTACAGATTTATTATATGTATGTATGTATCTATGTTAAGAGAATAACATATGTCATCCTAGTTGTAAGCATTTTTGTAATTGGTTCCTATTAATTGTAACATTTTAACTTTAATATCATACTTCGTGCAAATAAACATTCTTATTCTTGTTATTTTATTGTACCTGGCGAAATAAGTGTTTTCTTCTTTATGATTGTTATTGCTATTGCCCGCGACTTAGTCCGCGTAGAATGATAACTTCTGGCAGAATTTGGGTTAATTAAAACAATGTTAATTGGTAATATTCAAAACAATGGGCGTAACTGTTGTCTCTTAGACGGCAAAATACTTAAACAACAATAATTAGGTAAGTACATACATACCTACTAATTAAATAGGGTAAACGTGATGAAGATATGGGAATACGGTGAATAAGAAAACCTTCTATGAAATACCTAATATTCTATTCAACCCATTTCATTCAGTGGGTAGGTACCTATTCTTGGGTCTTCTCTCAAGGTTGTTCAGGATTGGTAAGATTTGCCCTAAAAAGGGACTCGTAGAAGGATATAGCTTAGCTGGACAGCATAATATATAGGAAACTGAGACGAGTCTTGTTATTAATTATACCTACCGCAAAGGTTAAAGACAACAATATTCAACGAGTGCGTCCTACCAGTAATGACAAACGGAGCAGAGACGGAGATTGATGTGACCGGTCTTGCCATGAAATGGGAATGGGCCGGTCATATCTGTCGCAAGGAAACGTACTTCCAGCTAAGTGGAGTGGAGCTAAGGAAGTCATCCACAAGGTGGCTGGTGGTGATTGGATTCGGAGAGCTGAAGATCGAGCACAGTAGCGTGCGTGCGTAAAGGATACTCCTCTCCTTTCCGGGCTGGAAGATACTTTGTAGATTTGTACATCTTACTTGAGCATCTCTGGTCCAATTTGCATGGTCCGTTAAGGTATACTTACAAGTTGGTAGGTACTGTTGCCACCTAGTACGAATCTGATGAAGAAACCACAGGGAAATCGAGGGCAACCCTCAAATTATAAACACTTCTTGTTTATTCTGATAATTTCTTCAAGCTATTCATCCATTTACGATGACGTTGATGACCTGATGATGGAAAATATTTTTTTTATGGGCGGAAAATCATCGAATTACTGCTTCCGCCTGGGTGAGGCGGGAGGGAGTGTCAGACTCTTACTGACTAAAAACCACCCCGTTCTTTCTTCTGCACGTCGAGCCGGAGTCCCAGTAACCTGTTAGGTTCTCCGCGACTCCGAATCGGCATCGGCCCTGTTGGGCCCCATTTGTGGTGTACGCTGATGGAAAGTATAACTCCTCAATTGTTAGGAGTTCAAAGAATAATTTTTCATAGGTACTTACTTATATACGGATTGAGAATATAATTCTTTGAGGCTATTAGGTTGGCCTGTTTATATTAGGTCTTTACTTATGAAATTGCCATTCTGCAGAGTACCTATAGGTACTAGTCATGTCGCGGAGAACCTAACGGGTAACCGGGGCTCCGGCTCGACGTGCAGGAGAAGGAACGGGGGCTTCCGCCTGGGTGAGGCGGGAGCAGTCATTCGATGATTTTCCCCCTTAAAAAAAAAACAGGTAAGTACCTACTAGTCATTTCAAATCAAAATATTTTTTGTTAGGATAGAATTCAAATTTATCCGCGTGCGAGTGCCGTGCATCAAAGCGCGTTCATGTTTCTTTTCTACACACCACTCAGTGTTGCGTTAGCGCTCGGCGAGTGTATGTGCGCGCATTTGGCCAGGGTAAATAAAATAAATTCGCCAGCGGTGTCCGTGACCGCACGAGAGTGGTTGTGACACGTGACGATGGTTGATAGACTTTCTGTTATAATTATTTATTCCTCCTACCTAGTGTTTTTGAGTTAAAATGAGTAAAATAGACGAAAATATTGAAACATGCCTTCGGCAAGAGATCTCGAACAAAGGTGACATATCTGGCGAGCTGATGTAACCGTTGACCAAATGTAAAAGTTGAGGCTTTACAAGTTTGTTCATTTAGTTGTTTAACTGTTTTAAGTTTATTCAAATGTGGCCTTTCATTTGTTTATACTATACCTTCCCTATTTACTTATACCTAATTAACTGAAAACAAAAAATAAAATAATTAAAACGTTTAAAAAACTAGTAAATAACTATAATTCAGTGTACTGCCTACCCACTTATACATAGTTTAGAAATCGGTGCCACAATCCCATACCAAAATAAATTATAACTTACCGATACAACGATACTATTTATTCTATATATACCTAATACTTTTTTTTTAAGGGGGGAAAATCATCGAATGACTGCTCCCGCCTGGGTGAGGCGGGAGGGAGTGCAGACTCTTACTGACTAAAAACCACCCCGTTCCTTCTCCTGCACGTCGAGCAGGAGAAGGAACGTTACAGATAGACACCGAACCCAAAAATGCGATAAAAAAATTTGTTTGTGTGTATGTTCACGCATCATGCAAAAACGAGGTATTCCTCGTAAAAACTAACGGTCCGATTACGATGAAACTTCGTGTGATTGTGCATTAAATCGTAGGCACTACACTGGGTACCTGCTTTTTATCCCGAAAAAGAATACACATGAAAAGGAGAAGTAGTCACACAGTTACTGTAGATTGGTATCTACAGTAACTGTGTGCTACGCTAATATAAGTTTGTCGAATGTAAAGTTCACAAACTTTACGCTGTAACTGTAGCTTGAACCGCTTTTACAAATGGGAAAAATTTGTGAGTTTGTATATATTTTTGTTACTCAGTCACATCACAACCGCTGAAGGGACTGGGATGAAAATTGGAACATTAGTTAATGGTCTGGAGTAATACATAGCCTACTTTATAGTCCCAGCAATGCGGGCGAAGCCGCTGGCAGAAGGTAGTATCTACATAACCCTGAACCTGAACAGTGCTGAACATAGGTATCTACTAAGGTTTAATATAACTAGTTTTGTTTAGGACTTCGGGCACAGAGTTGTAAACTATAAGTAGGAAGGCAACTACAATTAATAATAGTATTTTTTTTTTGTTTTTTAGTTTGGATTGTAGCCGTTTTAATCTTATACTATTATAATATAATCTTATACTATTTTATAAAGCGGAAGTTTGATTTTTTGTTTGAACGCGCTAATCTCCGTAACTACAAGTCTGATTTGAATAATTCTTTTTGTGTTGGATAGCGCATTTATCGACGATGGCTATAGGCTGTAAAACATCACGCTACGACCAATAGGAGCTAAGCAGAGCATGTGAAACCGCGCGGAAATAGCTAGTATTTTATAATTCGTATAGATATTAGTTATTATAACTTCTGTCAGAGAATAAATTTTTAAACAAAAACACTGATTCTTAAAAAAACTTTACTTCTATTGATTAAAACGAAGGGGGTCTTTTTTAATTTCTAAAAAAACTGTCATCTCCGGAGCCAACTCTGATTTGATTACTCAAAATCGTAACTAACTTCAAAGTCGGTAACTATCAAAGTTTGAATGCCCTAGCTATCGTAGCTATACTAGCTAGCTACTTTCGTTCATTTGTGGATCTACTCATTCTTTACTCAACACACAAATAAACATCGAGCATAGCACGCTACGTGACTTTTGAGTTACCTTATGAGGCCTATAGTGAGAGACCCAAGTTTGTGTTCCGTATATAAGAGATCTTCGCTTTGAAGCACTAAGGTACATTTATTTTGGACGAGAAGATGTTGCGTAGTTTTTCAAACGCTGCCCACCAAAGTCGACGATTGACCTCGGACCTAGAATTGGATCACTCTTTTCCTAGGTAAACATGTTTCACATATTTGCAGAAAATTTCGAGTAGAACTTCAACCGATGTAGCCTTATAGGACCTATTATATATCGGACAGTACTAATTATATGAATAGGTCTTTAACACGGTGTTATCTCTTTTCTGATGTATTAAATTACCTTACATAACATCACGCCTTTTATCCCCGAAGGAGTAGGCAGAGGTGTACATTATGGCACTGTACAATGTAACACCCACTTTTCACTATTTATGTTATGAGTCCCATGTAATAGGGGTGAGCTTATTGCCATGTACCAGGCACAATTCCAGACTTTGTACTACTACTGAGAATTACAAGATTGAGTAACAAGCATACACTGAAACACAAACTTTTGCATGTATAATATTAGTAAGACAAGCTTCAAGTCTTAAATTTTGTTGGACAGGGCCCATGAAGTTCCAGATAAATTAAATTGGCAGATAGACGAATATAGAATAAATCTAATTTTATATATATAAAATTATAAATACAACAGCTCAATAAACTGAAATTCAGCATAAATCAGTACCTACTTCTTTTGAATTACAATGTGATCTCAATAAGTACATACAGGGTTACAGGGTTTTTTTAAGGGGGGAAAATCATCGAATGACTGCTCCCGCCTGGGTGAGGCGGGAGGGAGTGTCAGACTCTTACTTACTAAAAACCACCCCATTCCTTCTCCTGCACGTCGAGCCGGAGCCCCGGTTACCCGTTAGATTCTCCGCGACAGGGTTACAGGGTAAGTCGACCTAAATCCTTTAAGAGGTGATAGTATCCAATACTCCTGACCGATTTGACTAAGGGACCCTATATCACAAACTTAACTATTCGCAAGATATCGGCCTTTGTATGGCTATTATAAAAATTCCAGATTCTGGTCAATTGCACCCATTTTTATTGTCTATACTTTGTTTTTTACTATTTTTGTATAGAAGATTAGTTGCTTTAATATTTGAAACAATAAAACTGCAAATGACATTACCAACAGAGGCGTGGTAGACAAAGGATTATTAAAACACGAATACATTTGTGAGAAGGATTAGTTTCTTAGTATATCAATCGCACAAATTCTAGAATTTTTATAAAAGTAATACAAGGGCCATCTTGAGAACGGTTAAGTTTGGGATATGGGGTTCCTTAGTCAAATCGGTCAGAACAGAAATAATGGATACTAACACCTTTTATAGGATTTAGATCGACTTACCCTGTAACCCTGTATATAAGTATGAAATATGGCATAAGGCTGGAAATATTATTAATAACATACAATGGAAACATCTTATCAGTCATGTTAGAAAATGTTTTTACCAATTTGTTTGAAACAGACTAGAACAATAAAAATTGCTGGCTTTATAAAATTTCAATTTCAAACGTCAATAACACGAATAATACAACTATTTCAAAATATATATTATTAAAAATGCAAAATTTTGAAGATTATTTCTTTGGTTGATATGTATTTGCCAAAATAGGCATAGCATTGAGTTTTATAAAATTTTACAGTTAAAATAGGTGGAAATTATCACAGTTATACACAACCATATTAGTTGTACAAATATATAAAAAATGCTTAATTTCTTAATTTGTAACATTAACCAGCAGCACTTGTAGTTCATAACTACAACAATTATAATTTGGCTAATGTTACACTTTTCACTGCATCAAAGTTTTAGAAAAATAGTCAGTTAATGCAAACCACACTCATCACTATTTTCCAGCATAAATACCCTGTAAATAGAGATTTCTTGCTTTTAATGTAGAACTACACTGATATACCCATTTTTCATTAGTCCCATGTAATACATTTTATTTTAAAAAGTGTCCAAATTTCAATCAACAGAGTTCAAGACTATAATAACATAGTTCACCACAACACAATAAAGTTCAAAGTTCAATCACAATTTTTTTTATTATCAATTATCAGATATCATATCAATACATTGGGGGTTGATAGTTTTATCGTCGGTCACGGTAGGATCTGTGTGAATCACGATCACGGCTACGGGCACGTGAGCGATCTGAAGTACGCCACAGAAACTCATCCACAGATCTTTCATAAGATCTTTTATCATACACTAGCACTGAACGAGGATATTCAGCCAAGTCATAGTATCTTGGAGGTGGTGGTGGAGGTGGTGGTGGTATTCCATCATAAGCTGGGAGTGCTCCACTAAATCCAGGTGGTGGCACATAAGGCAATGGTGGCAACTGATGATGCATTGATCGCATATATTCAGCTACATATGCTTCAGCTGCAGTACTACTATTACCATAGCCCTCACGATTACGGCCGAACCATATTGGTAATCGTTCTCTCATGTATGGTGAAGGAGAACGACGTTTATATGAACTTGAAGAAATACGACTCCTTGGAGACATAAACATCTTTCTTCTACTTCTTGATGATGTATTGATACGGTTTCGAAAGTTGGATCCTCTTGACGACAAAGGGGCACGATATGTCCTGTAGTTGCCACCACTCTTTAGGTAAGACTTTTTAGATGCTTCCTTTGATTTTCTAAGAATTGGAGTCATTTCAATTCCTTCATCTTCTGGAAACAGCCTACACAACTCTTCTGCAACCTTAGGTTCAATTTCTTGGCCATCCCTGCCAATTTTGACAGGTTTACCTTCATTCCATGGATTATACAAGTGAAGAGTGCTACTGAAAGGCAATTCTTTTCTACAAATCCAATCAACTTTAAAGACACCATCTAAAACTTTAGCAGACAGCCCAGGTGGCAGTACCCATGATATAGGGGCAACATCTCGACGTGACTCACTCGCTAAACGAGCGAAACCAGCAAATTTACCACTTTCCTTCACTGAAAATATTAGTAGCACGTTTCGGGATTCTCTAAAAGCTTGATTTAAATTGGCTTCGTTCTGTGGTAACGTAGACCAGACTCCTTTCGCTTTTGACAATGTAATATTTTCTGCATTGTTCGACTTTATCAAAAAGAAACGGGTGTCTCTGAATAAATAATTCAACTTCGTCATATAATCATAGGTCTTCACCTTACTGTTAGTGGTTGTAAGACATCGTCGTTTATGTTGTACAGGTGAATGGCTTTCTGACTTAGTTCGTTTACGATTTGCGCGTCTCTCTTTGGATTTAGTGCTGACTGAACTAATACTCGGTGTACTTGACTCGCTTGAAGATGAACTAGTTACTTCACTTCGTGTATCAAAATCTTTTCCTTCCTCTAATTGTTTTAATTCTTCTCCAATTTCTGCTTCTACTTCACCAACGCCAAGGTTGACGGCGTCAGTATTGTTAGAGGCCTCCATTTTCAGTTTAGTGTTGATAAACAGAACTTTGGAAACAATCAATTACTTTTCCTATGCCTCGCTAAAAGCATAGTACATTTTTTCTAGCGTTGGACATTAATTTGTACTAAAATACAATAGCGACAGAATCATCACAAATTACATGAACGCGAAACACTCAAACTATTCATTGATTCATTCACTTCATAAAATAAAACTGTAGAATGAAGATTTTAGAACTAGCTTGTCTCTTGATGAACATGAATGATGAATATAAACCATAGATAATATATTTTTTAATGGAGGGGTGCTTTAGAAAACTTACTAACTTCAAAATAAAAAAAATATTATTTTACAGTGACATGCTACAATAAAAGGTAATTTACCTCATTTGAAAATATCTGATGGACCCTGTTGGATTTGTAGTCGCATGTGCAAGTGTGGTTTTCGAACAAGAACAAGGTATCGATGACACACGTATTTCAGATATTAAGATATTTTTAGTTCGACATATATTGGAAAACAAAAATCTCTGGCCACTAATCAAACAGAACGCTTTTTTATAAATATATAAATGGGAAACTGTTATTTCTATGTATTTTAAACAATATAAAGGTGAATGGGTGAAAGACACTAAATTATATGTTGTTGCATTTATCTGAAATTATGTTTCCGCCGGAAGTTTATGTATGCACTGCCTGTCAGTCAGCTGATTTAAAACTTGTTAGGTTGGTAGTATTTCTTGGTGGCGGAAAAACCGCGTAGAAGTTTAAAGAATTGTGTTGATTTATGTAGTGTAGATAATTTTATGGTTTAGATTAGTTGCTTTCACAACATTTATCAAACATGCATTTTGTTCAGAAATATCTAGAAAAAATTCCTATGCCATCAATAAGTACAAATGCTACTACCGGTAAAAAAACCTCAAACATTTATCTATACTGTAATTATTACAGCTTTTATTCTCAAAAGGTACAGTATAGTGGAATATATTGTGTTCATTATTTTGTTCTCTTAGCTTACAGTATCCAGTACAATGATAATAGATAAGAATTACTATCCACCACAGTTCTAGGCGGACCAACTCATAACAAACTTATTTTTCCATTTAGATGGACCTTACTAAAAGAGTTCATTCTAGAATATTAATAAGCGATAATAATTTTGGAAGTTTTTCTATTGACATATTTCCAGGTTCTCATGAGTCTTTACGAAAAAAATGTTGATTTTGAGCCATTGATTGTGGACATAACAAAAGGAGAGCAGTATTCATCATGGTTTTTGGATATAAATCCCCGAGGGGAAATTCCAGTTCTAAAAGTAAAAAATGAAGTTATTCCAGATTCCACAAGAATTTTAGATTATTTGGAATATTATTTAGATCCAGGTAACTATTTTGAAGATTTTTTTGTCTCCATAGGAGTATGTTTTATTTATTGAGGAATTTGTAGGTAACTCCATGGTGATCTCCTAATTTGCTTGATTTCCAAAATTGTTAGTTCATATTGAAGTGGAATTTCTTTTATTAATAATGTACTTTTTTGTTTTCAGAATTAACACCATTAATAAATGTTTCAACAGATAACAAAGTGATTGATAGCATCAATAGATTCCGAGAGATGTTGGAAGCACTTCCAGGTGGCTTGATAACAGTGGGCTCATTCTTTCATCCTCATTTAAGTGGCACTCCTAAGTTGCCGTTCATACTGCCAGTGCGTGAAATACTGAAAAGTAAGTAGGTGTGTAAATTGTTTATTAATATTAACTCGTTGAGTACCGTCTTTGTAGACACAATTGTAGAACAATAGGTTGTGCTCACTGGTGACCACTTGGTGTTTGACAGTTTAAGTAGATGAAAGTCTTTTCATTCCTACTGTTTTATTTCAAACTTAAATTATGCTAATAGTATTGGAGTTAACATAATTATTATTTGTAATTACGTAATGAAGTAAATGAACAAAATACATTCATTTAAAAGATAGATACCTAAAAAAAACCTGAACAGTGCGCACAAATAACTATTCCATAAAGGTATATAAATAAAAAAAAATCCTGAACATGACTGCATCAGATAGTATAAATCTTTTTGTTCTTGTTCTGTGTTATCTTATCTTCAGTCATGCTACTACGATCATTTCTAAACAAACTCCTTATACATATTGTTGAAAAAAATAGGTGATATACACCAGTTTTATTGGCATCTTTGAAGGTGGTGACTTGGGCAATTCAACAAATCTTAGGAAATTGGCTGAAGAAAATCCTAAAGCTAAAAGTATATTATTATACAAAGCTGAGATACAAGATCGCAAACATGAAATAATAACAAATGAAGAAGAGTACACCAAAGTACTAAAAATTATAGATCAAGTTATGAGCCAAATTGAAGAACAATTGAAAAAGCAACCTGAAGGTAAATATTCCTATAACGGTAAAACAGGGTGAATAGAATTCGAGGGGTGAATAGATACAGAAGAGGGGTGAATAAATGTAGGGAAAATATTCTAACATTTATTCACCCCATTCCTGTTCCCGTTTTACGGTACTATTAATATGAATATTATGTTACTGTCAATCTATATGATCCTATATCATATCCTATACAAGGAATGTTTATGTAGAATATGTGTACAAATGATGTATAAAATGTTCAGTTTTATATGAAATAAATTGCATAAGGGTTTTATACAATCCTGAATATGCAGCTGACTAGCTTGCATAGCTCGATGTGTAGCTAATAGCATGTACCTACCTACCTACTTACCCAATTGGTACTACCTAGATTTTTTTAGGTTTAGGTACCTACAATTATCCCTTTACTGGATTCTGTTAGTACCTAATTAAAAGTATATCTTGTTCAGGTAACTGGCTGTGCTGTGAAAACTTTAGTATTGCTGATATCAACCTGGCAATTCTTCTTCAACGTCTATGGGAACTTGGGTACGAAGACAGATATTGGGCAGCCGGAAAACGCCCTTTAATAGAAAACTATTACAATCGTGTCAAACAACGGGAATCTTTTAAAAAGACAATACCTAGTTTACCAGTTCATCTAAAAATGATAGTTATGTCACAGCCACCTTTATATCTGGGTGCAGCTGGTGCTGCTTCTGTCGGCGTTATTTTTGCAATTGCATACGTATTGAAGAAAATTGTACGTTAAATAATTAATTCTCAATCGAGTACATACTAATCTACATCGTAATACAAAGTAAACTAGGTAGAAGTTGTTATATTTGTTTCACATTGTTGGTAAACTACCTTTATTTACGTATTACATAAGATGTTTTTTTGATTTGGTAAATAAGCAAATAAAGGCGTAAGTATTATGTTTTTTATATAGGTACCTACCTATTTACAAAGTTATAAATGGAACAAAACATTCAATTTTTTTTTCAATATTAAACCATTTAACTAACTCATTCAGAATAACAAAGAAAGATTGAGCATTGTTATGATGCTAGGTATATTGGACAAAAATGGAATTTGATTTTGACTATGATAGTCAGACTATCATATGTTTTACTAATGCGAGCAGCATAATTAGTAGGTATATAAAAAAATTAACCTATGACTATCATTGTCAGTACATGTGATCTGTTTGTAAGAACACATTCTCTTCAAGAATTTAATGTGTATTTACGTAAATAAGTGTTAGGTATTAGATTGGAATACAATGAAACAGTATTATTTACCTTTGTTAGATATTTAATAAAATTATAACATGATTTTGCTTTTTTTCATCAACATTCTTATTGTATAAGTACCTGATGTTAATCCCATTAATATGCAAGGACTTGGTGACCTAATTTAAATATAAATCAGTTGCAACATAAATAATTAGACCATAAAATGCAAATTGCCAAACAGTTATAAATAAATTTGTACTATTCAGTTCAGCTTTAAATATGAATCAATTTTAAATAAATAGGTAAACAAAATGCACCACTGCTTAAAGTGTTAACAAACATCTCTAATTAGAGCATTAAATTAACAACCATATTTCTTATTATTGTAAAACAGAAACCCTATATACTAAAACCTCAACCTGTGAAAAATATGTCGTATCAATCTATTTAGTTTCTTCTTTACTATTTTCAGAGTCTTGGTTGGCATTAATTGGCATGCCCATAAAATGTTTACCGTTTGTAGAACTCTTTTTTCTATAAGTGGGTGTGGTGGACACAGGTTTCATCCGATTGTTGTATTTAAATATGCCTTCTCCTGGTAGATTGGGGTAAATATTTGGTATGGTATACCATACTCTATAAGTAACAAACCAAGTGAGTATTGCTAAGACACCACTGATGAATTTTTCCACCATTATGTGATAGTATAATATCGTTGAAACTAACATAACATCCCACAATAACTGCAGCAAAGCAATACCTATTAAAAATGCTCTTACATATGGTGTATAATTCTCATACGACACTTTCAATGCACTTAGTTCATCACTTGTGATGTTTTTCAAAGGATTTATACTGGCAGACTTGTCATCAATACTACGAGCATACTTCTCATCTCTTATGTAGTCTTTTATCCTTTCCCAGCCATTGATAGCTTTAGCTTCTTCTATCATAACTAAACTTGAATATATTAGAATAAAACAGTGCCCAGATAAATCAAACCCATTCCAAAAATGTCCATTCTTTAAACACATTATTTTGTTGTCATATAACTTAGTATTACAACGTCCATAATTTGTTTCTATCATATTGAAGACAGTTGTCCATGTGTACCAAAACACAGTAGCAACAAGTAATCTTGACAAATGACCCATGCCTATTATTCTCTTTTTCCCACAGCATGTCGTGTACGACGTCAAGAAAACATAAGGCAATGTCATAAATAGTGTCCAAAACCATCCAATCTTCACAAAATATTGATTAAAAACATTGTCACTTCTCGAAAAGTATGTTTTCGGAAATGTTAATACATCCGCAATGATCGATAGTAAAAAGAGAGCTCCTAAGTAAATGGCTATTTTTAAATTGGTGTCAAAGAATAGAATCTTTTTACATATATGCACAATCATCAAGACGAACACTTCTAGGATAGAGGATTCTTCACGGGTTGGCTTGGTACCTTTACTTTCTAGTTGTTCATTTTGAACTTTGTAGTTCATTCGTGCGGATTTAAAACTTCCTCGGCTTGTCATGATTCGGAGATTTTCATTTGCACGTTGTGTAGTTGAGAGTTACTTATACTTATTTCTATTAATATAGAATTAAATGATGAG